AAGAACTACAAAGGTTGTTATTTCTTCACCTCTTCTTTGGTTGGTGTTTTAATCTTTCTATAACTTGCAAGAAGATCCTTGGTGGGTATAAAATTTGTATGTTATTTCGAAAATTAAAGTCAAGTTGCCATATTTTTAAAGTTTATGAAACTATTTTTGAACTAAAACCCAACAAGATATCGAGGGAGTAGTAAGGGACTTAAAGAGTCGGAAGGGACTCAGGGAGTCGAAAGGGACTCAGGGGTGAAATAGACATGTTACAGCTTTAGGTTGATATGTACGTATCGTATGTGGTATTTAGGGAACTCACTAAGCTTTTTGCTTACTGTCTATGTTTAAATATTTGTCAAGTACTTTCGGTTCAAAAAGGAAAGTCCCGACATGATCACATTGCATCCACCAGTGTTCGCCATTTTGTGATTTTGGGATTGTACTCTGATAACTATTTTTCCACATTGTCGTACTTTGATGGTTTTAAATGAATGATTAATGGTTTTGGTTGACTTAGAAATATAAAAATTTACTCAGTATTTTTTGGATGTTTCATCTTGATATCTCGATATGGAAATGGGAGTAAATCGCGATGGATTTTATCACCAAACTACCAAAGACTCCTCATTGAGTGGATACCATTTGGGTGATTGTAGATAGATTGACCAAAAGTTTCCACTTTTTACCTATTTAGGAAAGCTCCTCGACTGAGAAACTCGCCAATATTTACGTTAAATAGGTGGTTTCTCGGCATGGTGTACCAGTTTCAGTAGTCTCTGATAGAGATGTCTGTTTCACTTATAAGTTTTGGAGGAAGTTCCATGATGATCTGGGAACAAGATTACATTTTAGCGCAACTTATCATCCTTAGACCAATGGACATATTGAATGGACGATACGAACTCTTAAGGATATGCTACGAGCATGTGTACTTGACTTCGGTGGAAGTTGGGATTCCTATTTACCTTTGGCAAAATTCTCCTACAACAGCAACTATCACTACAACATTAATAGGCCTCCATTCAAAATTCTTTTATGGGAGGAAATGTAGGAGTTTGGTATGCTGGGGAGAAGTCGGCCAGAGAGTTATGGGAAGCACTACCATCGTGATCAAGACTGCCGAGCTTATTCAGTAGGTACGTGGGAGACTACATATTGCTCAAAGTCAGAAAAAGAGTTACGCAGATCGACATCATTCTGATCATGAGTTTCTGGTTGGAGATCTACTATTGCTAAAGGATTCACCTTGGAAATGTGTCATCAGGTTCTGGAAGTGGGGCAAGTTAGGCCCTAGATATATTAGACCTTTTCGAGTTATTGCTTGAATTGGAAAGATTTCCTACCATTTGGATCTACCGTAAGAGCTTAGCCAGATCGACAGCACTTTCCATGCTTCTCAATTAAGGAAGTGCATTACAGATGAATCTACAACCAATTACAATATTAGATAGGAAGACAAAGACCTTCTGCAACACGTCGATTGATTTGGTAAAAGTACAGTGGCAACACCAGAAATGATCTTAACCGATTTGGAAACCAGAAGAAGAGATGATAAGCAACTATCTAAAGTTATTCAGTTAGATTTCGGGGACAAAATCCTTGTAAGTAGGGGAAAGTTATAACACCCCGTTTTCACTTACAGTGTAATTTAATATAAAAATATCTATTTATGAAATTCAAAGTATCTATGCATTACGTTTTAGCCAATGTATTCCACATGAAAGGTATCGTAAATGAAAATACGAACTCGTGAGTATAAAGATCATCAAAATATAACATCGTATGAAGAAGTTATGAATTTCGCAAGGTCATTCACAATATAATCTTTACAAAATATAAAGTGAAGATAGACTACGAATTAGCTGTTGAAATCCAAAAGAAATTTGTATTACACATAAATACGAATTCGTGGACATAAACAACGTCGAAATGGAGCTCGTATGGGAAAGTTACGATTTACCGAAGAATACGAGAAAATACATGTGAGGGGTGACGTGGCTCCACAGAAACACACCATGTGGAATTTGCAGACCCCAAGTCTCCCATCTACCGGTGATCACATAGCACCACCTGATATCCGACACGTGGCACCACAAAACACATTGTGCCTATAGAGAGGCATGACATGCCCTCTGAAACCCACTATAAATAGGAGGCTAGCCCCTCCTCATTTCTTGCACCATTCTCTCTCAAGAATTTCTCCTCTCATCCTCGAGCATTTCAGTCCCTAGTGATATGACTTGTCGTTCTATATTATAGTTAGCGAACTCTGAAAGTTTTGAAAGAAGATAAGAAAGTAGGCACGGATATTCGGGCTTAGTCGAAATCAAGTAAGTTATACTTATTCCAACCTATAAATGGTTATACCATTAGTCGTTGTTATAAACCTATAAGTATTAGATTAGTCATTAATTTCGGTAAATGTTATGTTTGGTCTATGTACAGGAGAGGTGTCTAGGATAGATATATTGGTAAGGTTGTTGGATTTCAGAAAAGCTATATGTCGAAATGGTTCTGCCTCATGACTATCTTGACTGGATGATCCTTATTTGATAGCCAAGAAAAGTATATTTGGAATTAATGAATATAGCATATCATAGGTTGAACGTATTAGTCAAGCTGTCTGCAAAACTACCTATGTTGTTGCTTCAAGGATTGTTCAAGTGAGTTTTCTCACTATACTATATATAACAATATGTATCATTGTATGATAGGATGTGATTGTTCTCTTAGACGGATAGGGTAGTTAGTCATTTGTCTGTAGTGTTAAACTATATGTTATTTAGTGTATATATATATATATATATATATATATATATGTATATATATATATATGTGTGTGTGTGTGTATGTGTGTGTGTGTGTTGATATCTTATGTTGCAAGTTGATGAGGAACCAATTTGTACTAAAGGCCAAGATAGTCAAGCGGACCAGCTTTATACTGAAGGTCTTTATGTGAATGCATTGTATATATATATATATATATTGTGATATGTGAGATTTTGGAAAACTCACTAAGCATTGACTTACAATTGTTGAATAAATGTTTTTCAGGTTGTTCTTCTAATCATGGAAACTAAAAAAGCTCCAGCATAATTGTACTCGCATCCAAGAAATAATTATGTTTTTAGACTTCCACTAAAACTTTCTTTTATATTAATAAATGTATGGTGGTGATCTTTTAATGACAAATAGGTCTTTAGAGTATGAAAATTTTATGTTAAAAATTAGGATGTTACATCTCAGTTTGTTATAAGTGACCCTATTATAATAGGAAGTGACAATATAATGTTGGTACCAATAATATGTATTTCAGATTTATGTGAGAAGTATTTTTACTCACTAAGCTTTAAGCTTACCTATTGTTTATTAATATTTGCAAGACCTTTCGGGGTGAACAAAGGAAAAAAAATGGTCTAACCACCATCTGCATTAAGTTTAATATGTTCGGTATGTTTTAAAAACTTTTTTAAGAAGACTTTCGCTATTACTCTAAAGCATTATGTTTTATGTAACGACGAAGGAACATTTTTTATATGAAGTGCTACTATCATATTTAACATTTAAAAAAGGGACCTATATAAAATTTGTAATTTTTGTTGTAAAAAGAATTAAGGTGTTACACTAGTGGTTCATCATTTCAGAGTGTTGTAAACAATGCAATGAAGATTTTTTATAATAACATCTCCTAAAGAAAATCTTCCATGATTTGCTTAAACCACTACGAGAGATGATGAATCATTTAAACCAATATGTGAAACCATTGCAAAAAATCATGACTCTTAGAGAAGAAATACAAATACAATAATGAATACAAATCTACATAAATGTTCAATTCGGTATAAATATTTGTCACCTAGGATCATATATGAAAGTGACATACTTTTTACCTGCTCAACAATTAAGAAACATATAAGACATGAAACAAACATATGTTTTAGTTAAATTTGCAACTAAATTATAAACTTTATGATTAAGAAAATACAATATCAAAAATCAAAATGTAAAATGAACATGATTTTTAAGTGAAAGAACCGAAAATATGTTAAGCAATGGTGGCCGAAATGTAAAATGTCCCAAAGTTTCGCCTTCTAGATTGTGCATATTCCGCATGTGCAGGCCGCAGCACAATCAATTTAAAACCCAGAATTATTTGGTCAAAACACACACACATACTATCAAATCTTCTTCGATCACTACAAAGTAAGAGAGTATTCGAGATTGAGTTTTGAAATAGCTTATAGAATTATACTCGTCGTTCACAGCCTCCTTACAGTTCTTCACAACGTTCACCTGCATCTTCCCACACCGCCGACCATTTTCCCTTCTCCGCTCCAGACCTTCCATCTCCGGCGCCGGCTGCAATCTTCTCATTCTCCGATCACCTGGTAGGTCCTGCTTTCTTTTTCTGGGTTGGTAAACATATGATTGTTTTTTATTTTCTGGAATCGATGGTGCACATGAATTTCTTGTTAGATTTTGAATATAGAGGTTAATTTCTGTCTGATACGTGGTTTAATCGAATTCCTGATCTTTGGTTTGGTTTTAATCCCAATTTTCTTTTTATCAAAAATTGCTTAATTGGTTAAATAAGCAATCCTAAACACCCTCTAAGCAAGTAAAGATAAACCCCGGAAATTCTAATTCAAAAGTAGGTAAGATTTCAGTTCAAATCGCACTAAACTATAAATCATGATTCTCTTTATGCTCTCGTAACTTCAGCAAAATGTAGAAAAAGGGAGGAAATTGATATAAAAACAAGTACTTCATTTAAGATATTCTTATTATCGAAGGAGATTGATTACATTTGCAGTGTAAACTGCCAATTTGAGTATATTGTAACTGTAAATGGAGATGCGATTGCGATTGTGAATGTAGGTTTTCGTTATTTGGGTTTCTAATTTTGTGTGATTTGATTGGGAATTTGTTTCAGTTCAAAATCGAGGTTCTCATTTAGCTGATTGAAGCTAGTTGACCAATAGAAAGAAGTCTAGGAAGTAATCTTGGAAATGGAGGAAGTGCAACAGCAGCCCATTCAATCAGTTGGTAATCCATCAAAATCTCTTATCATCTTCCATTTTTATGATGATATTCCTTTGTTGAGAAAGTATCCCAGTTTGATATGTTTTGTCAAGTGCCTGAGTTGACCAAAAATGTTAAATTGGAACTCCTGTTTATAAATATATGATTGTTATGTAAGCTTTTATATATAAATTACAGGTGAAGATGGTGAAAAGGAGATGATGTCTAATGGCTCTTCTATGACACATGAAACTCAACAAGATGATGAACCAGAGATTGTGATGGAAGGATCTTCATTTGTGCATGGAGGAGCTTCTGAAGATGATAAAGGTCCTCCAAAAGTTGATTCTCAAGTGGAAATCCTCCATGAAAAAGTTACAAAGCAAATCATTAAGGAAGGACATGGTGTCAAACCATCAAAATATTCAACTTGCTTTTGTAAGTTCCCTGTTTTTATGGCTTTTTTTTTCAGTAAAAACGATCATTTTTATATTTTTGACTTGTGAGAAATAGGAAGTAAGATTCATATATGGGTGTTTCTTTTTTACTTAATGAAAACAATGACTTAATAGATTAAGTTAAAGAAAGGAGTCTTTCCCCACTAAGTCTCAACTTTTTACAAATTCTTCCCTCATTTGTTTTTCTTTGCATTTCCCCAAGTGTGCTTTCTTTATAACAAATATTTTTTAAAAATCATTTCACTTATGCATACAACACTAATATAACCACATGTTTAATTTTGTAGTGCACTACAAAGCATGGTCTGAGAGTACCCAACACAAGTTTGAAGACACCTGGCAAGAGCTACAACTAGTTGAATTGGTCTTAGGGAAAGGTATAAATACATCAAACAATTCTCACTTTTTAACTTATGTAAATGGTTGTTCTTGAATTGTCCAAAAAAAAGTACAATGATTTAATCACTATAGAAAATAGTTAAGTGGCTTACTTTTTGGCATTTGTATCGAGTATTTCCACACTTTGTCAAAAAATGCTTATTCTTGGAAACTAATGTGTACCCTTTTGACATTTTTACAAGAAAGATTAGTCTAAGAAAGCCAAATCACTTGTTTTGGCTTAAATTGTGGTCTCATGAAAAAACTTGGACCTTTTTGACCCTGTTCTTTTATGCCAGAGAAAAAGGAAATGACGGGTTTGGCCATTGGTCTGAGCTCCATGAAATCGGGAGAGCGAGCTGTGTTACATGTAGGTTGGGAATTAGGGTATGGTGAAGAAGGAAACTTTTCTTTTCCAAATGTGCCACCTAAGGCAAATATCATCTATGAAGTTGAATTAATCGGTTTTGATGAAACAAAAGAAGTAAGTTAACTTATTTAAATCCATGTCTTACATTATTCCATCTTTTTTAATGCACTACATCAATCTCAATACCAGTATCAGTCCAATGCATGCCAAACACAGTACAAGGTTGTCTATCTAGTCTTGTCATTTCATGTGTAACAAATGGGCCTACTAGATAGGTGGTTCTATGTATACCCTAAAAAGGGGAAATGTTGGAAAAGCCCTTACATTTTGGACGTTTTTACATAAACGCATTATAAAGAAAATGTTTCAATAAAACCTTTTGAAAATTGTAAATTTTTCATGAAAGCCATTTTAGAATCTTTAACCATAATAAAATTGGAAAAAGTCAAAAAATAGCCCTTATTTTTATACACTCTTACAAGCTTTTCCATAAAAATGTCCAAAATATATAATTTATCTTAATATAGAATAGTTAAAAAGAAAATTATAAAACGGTTTTCATGGAAAACTTACAAATCCCAAATAGTTTCTTTGAGAACTTTTTTGCTTTTCCATGAAAACATGTGAAATACAACGGTTTTTCTAACATTTGATATGCCCCACCAAGAATTTGAAATCATTGTGGGGTTAAAGTTGTCATTTTTATTTGTCTCATAAATACGGATGTTTTGATAGGGAAAAGCTCGTAGTGATATGACAGTAGAAGAGAGAATAAGTGCAGCCGATAGAAGAAGAATGGATGGAAATTCTTTGTTCAAAGAAGAAAAATTAGAGGAGGCTATGCAACAATATGAAATGGTATTAAAATATATATTCTTACTATGAATTTTTATAAACATGTTTTTTGTTTTTTGATATAATAATGTAATGAATATAGGCAATCGCATACATGAATGATGATTTCATGTTTCAATTATATGGAAAGTATCAAGACATGGCTTTAGCAGTTAAGAACCCTTGTCACCTTAACATTGCAGCTTGTTTGATAAAGCTCAAACGCTATGAAGAAGCCATTGCTCAATGTGCTATTGTACGTATTACTTTTTTCTTTTTGCTTTTTTTTTATTATTATAAATTTATTTTTGATTTTCTTTTGCACGACAAAATAAGGTAAATTATAGAAAAAAACACGTATTTTCACCATGTTATTGATTTAGTACCTTAACTATTTTTTATAATGATCAAACCATTATACTTTGTTTGACCTTTTAAAAAACCCATTTGTCTAGTTAACTATTAGAGTAAATTACACAAATGGTCCCTATGGTTTGGGGTAATTTGCGTGCTTGGTCCTTAACTTATTTTTTTTAACTGGGAAGGTCCCTACTATTTGTTTTTGTTACGTGCTTGGTCCCTGTCTTACTTAAAAAGACTATTATTTAAATAGGGAAAAAATAATGGGGTAAAGTAAGACAAGAACCAATCGCGTAACAAAAACAAACATTAGGGACCTTCCCAGTTAAAAAATTAAGTTAGGGACCAAACACGCAAATTACCCAAAACCATAAGAACCATTCGTGTAATTTATTCTAACTATTATTATGACAATCATAATAATGGTTTTTATAAAGGGAAAATGACATAAATGCCCTTAAGTCTGACAGAAATGTACGTATTTTAGGTTCATTAAAATTGTAAACCCCTGGGTTTTAATGAACCTGAAATACGCAAAAGGAAAAGATCTATACATTTCTGTCAAACTTAAGGGCTTTTATGTCATTTGCCATTTTTTAAACGGTAAAAAGAAGTATAATGGTTTAATTAGTAAAAAAACAAAATAATACAAAACTAACGTAAACCCTAAATTTATTTTGTAGGTACTTGTGGAGGATCAAAATAATGTGAAAGCACTATTTAGGCGAGGGAAAGCTCGGTCAGAACTCGGGCAGACGGATGCTGCCCGAGAAGATTTTTTGAAAGCGCGTAAATTTGCCCCTGAAGATAAAGCAATATTGAAGGAATTGCGTGTGCTTGATGAAGATGATAAGATTGTTTATCAGAAACAAAAGGAGCTTTATAAAGGCTTGTTTGGACCTAGACCCCAACCTAAAGACACCAAGAGAGTTACTAACTGGTTGGTTTTGGTTTGGCAATGGCTGGTTTTGTTGTTTTATCGGCTTTTTGGGGGTAAAATGGTCAAAACTGAATGATTTTGAGGAGTGAGAATGTTGAGATGTTAGGTTGAAATTTGTAAGGTTTTAATGTGGTTGGTTTAATTGAATGCAAAAACTACTAGAACTTGTATATGAACTTGTTGCTGTTGTAACATTATATACATTATGTATTCAAGGAATTTACATGTGGGGTTGGATTTTTTATTGTTGTTTTGTTTTATCATTTTATAAATTAGAGTAAATTACACCATTCGTCATTGGTTTAAATGTCAAATTGCACGTTGAGTTCCTATTTTCAAAAATTAACTCGGTTCTTCACATAATAAGTTTAAAAGTTTGAAAGCTTAGCCCCTGATAGACCTAGAATGACAAGTAATTTACTCTACAATTATGATAAGTTGTCGAATGAAAACAAGTATATAGTGTTACTTTTATTTGTTACATTGTTAAGTTATTGAATTTTTTTAATTTACAAAAATAGTAAATAAATATAATAAAAAAAAGCTCATTAACGCCTAAAATAAGATTATTAAAAAAAAATTACTTAGTTACTTAAAAGAAAATGAGAATGCAATTTAATTAAAATCATGAAATTATGTTATATTACAATTCTCATGGATCCATGATGGAATTGAAAAAGAAAAAATCTAATTAATGATTAAAATAAACAAAAGGGGGTGAATCTCATTTCTTCAACAATGGCTTCTTTTATTCCCTTATAAAATAAAAACACGATTCCTATTTTATATTTTGATGATGTGAACCATTTCGATTCTCGTCCATTAATTCGAAGAAAGTAATACAGAACTTTATGTCATCTTATATGTTGTCTTGGTCTTAGTCTTTATCCTAAAAATATATAGTATAAAGTTAAAAACCGGAAAGAACAATTATATATAGTAACAAACATAACGGGTCTACAAAATGATGTTTGTATGTTTTTTCGTTAAGCTAACTTAAGTCCAACCCGTTTTGGATCACGTAGGGGTTCTAACGATGGAGCACGTAGATCCCAAAAACTACATAGCTTCTCCTCTAAAAACGACTACTCCAGTTAGGAAACGTATTAAATATTTACTTAAATCGGTAGGCCCTTGAGCAGATCTAACGTCAGCTCCAAGACTTTTTTTAATTAATATTTAATATAAAGATATAATTAAATCAAGTTGTGTAGTCTAACAAAAGGAAAATAAAATTCTAAGGTTCATTGAAAATAAGTACAAATAAGACAATGAAAATATAAACCCACACTAATAGAATCCAATGAAAATAAGTACAAATAAAACACACAAAACCTACTTCACAACTTCCATTTTTCCATCATACAAATATACAATTGCTACGATACCGGAAATAGTATGCCTAAATTAAGGTAAATCCATTTTCCAAACCAATATAGTCTATGAATCCATAGTTCCATACATCAATTACAAATATCATACACATTTTTTTTTTGTCTAAATTTAACTACCAATGGTGCTCAAATGTGGAATTCCATGCACAATAAGCACACACAATCCTTTGAGAAATATATATATAAACCGCAAATGATAGACTCATGAGTACCAAATCCTTCCAATCCCCTTTTTGTTTAGGACTCAAACTTTCTTTAATTCCTCTTCCAAGCTTCTCTATACTCACAAAAACCTCCTTCAAACTTTCCTTCTTCTGCTTACTCTCCTTCTCTTTATCCGTGGGTGGATCGAACCCAAATCGGGTTTGGCAAGCCATGAAGGTGGGCTTGGTTTGATGGCTCATGGAGTGCACCAATTCTTGAATTGTGGTCTTTGATCTTATGGTGTGGAATGAGGGGCTTATTGAGAAGAAAGCCATGTGGGTCTCGTGTTAAAAGGTTTAATGTTTGAAGCTTTTGGTCATTTGATGGTTTGTTTGATGATTTCAAGTGTTGAAAGGATGGTTTGGAAGAAGAAAGAGGATAAAGCACGACACCCAAAGGCTATTGTCAATTATCGAAGCAAATATCTAAGAAAGTGCAAGCACTATAGGCAGGCCTTTACCACCTTAGGTTTTAGAAATGGATAAGATGGTCGAAGATTTGACCTTTTGTGTTGACAAGTTCAACTTAAATTTTCGAAATGTGAATAACTTACAAGGCTAAAGATTTATTGTGCTATGATATTCTTTTCTGTAGTGTATTTTTTGTTTTTATTAGAATATTGTAATTTAAAAATAATCTAAACTACATAAATTGTTTATAAGTTAGAAAGAAAAATTTATAATCCTTAACATTTTTTTTCTGATCACTCTATTTCAGAAACTTGATTGGAGAATATCTTTAAGTTTTTATTATTTTTAATTATATATATATATATATATATATATATATATATATATATATATATATATATATATATATATATATATATATAGGTTCATTTGAGATCATTTTAATTTTGTGAGACCGTGAGACCAAATCTAAAAATAATTTTAAAATGCAAAATAAATGGAAAAATCCAAAAATTCTTTTTTTAAATATTATTTTCGGAACTTTAATTAACTAAAAATAATAATAAATAAATAAAATAAATAAAAATCCCGTTTTTTTTTAAACGTGAAATATTCTAATAGAATATTACACTGTACATATTCTAAAAAATAATTTTAAAATGCAAAATAAATGGAAAAATCTAAAAATTCTTTTTTTAAATATTATTTTCGGAACTTGAATTAACTAAAAAAAATTAAAAAAAATCCCATTTTTTTTTAAAATACGTGAAATATTCTAATAAAATATTACTGTAGCACCTGGTTCATGGTACGTAAATTTATCTTAGTGTTTTTCATTTTTAGCCTTGGACTCGGCGAGTTGTAGGTCCGACTCGCCGAGTAGAGACGGGATCCGGAACACGTTTAAGTTGGCGACTCGGCGAGTCCATATTTTGGACTCGGCGAGTCCCCGCTGTCTGATGAAACCCTAAATTTCAAGGGTTTGCACCCTATTTAAACCCTCTTATCCGCCCCCAAGCTCGCCCTCATTCACCCTCAGAGCTCTATACTTCGTTCAAGTCTTGTTCCTTGTGAGTTTGAAGCTTTTTGGTGTGTTTTCTTGAAGATTTGTTGAGGGAAGGAGTATGGATCAAGAAGAGAAGAAGGAGGCCAGGCACATTTGGGTTATCTCAGTGATTTCCTGGAGGTATAACTTAGTTTCCCTATGTTTTCATGTTTATTGTCCTTTGTAGCTCCATGAAAGTCCTTTTTGAGCCTTTCCCCAAGCTTGTTTGTGCATTGTGGGTTGTAATAAGTTGTTAGCCTCCAGATCTAGGCATGATTGAGCTCCAGGAGCTTGGATCTACTGCCTTTATGGAGCCATATTGCATGAAAGCCCTAGATCTACTCTTTTGGTGCATTTTGAGCCCTAAAACCCTCATGGGTGTTTATTTACACGTAAAGTTGGAAACTTTACGTGTTAATCAGGCCCTAAAAACCCAGATCTATGAATGACATGAGCTGGATTCAAGCAAAATCGCGTGTATAGTATTTGCATGTGGCCGACTCGGCGAGTCGTTCATCTGACTCGGCGAGTCGAGTCGCGAGTCCCCGAGTTTTCCCTCTTTCGTGGTTGCGGGGTGGAGAAGTGAGTCATGGGGTGTGACTCAGTGGGTCGGAAGCCAGACTCACTCATGAAGTAACTCGGCGAGTCAATGCCATGACTCGGCGAGTTCAAGGCAATCTTCTTGCCTCAAGAACAACTCGGCGGGTTGTTCATACAACTCGGCGAGTCACAGCATAGAGTGTTCTTCGAATGAAGATGAACTCGACGAGTTGTTCATACAACTCGGTGAGTGGGATGAAGGACTATTGGCCTTGGGTTTAGAAGGAGAACTCGTCGAGTCAACGCCTAACTCGACGAGTAGAGACGGATTTATGTTCAGACTAAGGGACAGGGACTCGGCGAGTTGGCAAGCCAACTCGGCGAGTCAAGTCAACTGGCAGTTGACTTTGACTTTGACTCTTGGCTGGTTAGGAGTAAATGGTCATTTTATCATGATGTCGGTTAGCAGTATTTGACTAAGTGTTTTGTGGGAATTATTAGCCGGAGGATTTCCGGAGCGGCAGCAGCAGAAGACAGTTAGTTCCCACATCGATCAATAGCTACTTTGAGGTGAGTTATGTCACACCCCTGAACCAAGGATGGCGGAAACGTCCAGGGATGGAGGACTTCATGTGTAGTATCATAACAACAATGGTAATAGTGAGGAAAGTAAACACAACCAACATATATATAATTGAAAAAGTTACATCATTGTATGAATTACATGTTTCAAATTCAATTACAATATGTTGACAAAACATAATAAGTTTGACGCCTCAACGTCCCATCCTCAAAAGTACTTTGTTACCTGTTTAGTGATTTCCTGAGAATACAAGCAGTTTGAAAAAGTGTCAACGCAATGGTTGGTGAGTTCATAAGTTTTTGTATATCTTTATGAAAAAGCTCGTCAAGTAATGGCCTAGTTGTTCCAGAAAAATCCGATATTTTTCTTAAAATGAATAATGTAGACTAGTATCCAAAAGACTGTAATGCATGAGTAATCTTCCTTATTTACAGAAAATAATGTACGTTTATTTCAATTCAAAAGCATATGATATTAGTGAAACTCTCGTAATTTCTTAAATTTGTTAATATTTTCTGTACGTGTAGTCCTAAATCTCAGGACCAAGAAAATAGCAAGTATTGTCCATACTTAAAGTTATAAATGTGGTATCACATGACGTGCAGTCATGAATACCAAAACCGAAAACGTACAGTAATACCCGTACTTATTGAGATAAAAGTGATTTTAAAATCGTCATAAAACTCGTTTAAGTTTTATAAAAATCCCGTAAACCTTATGTATTGTTATATCCTTATGTGAGTCGCTATAATCATACTATGACTAATGAACCTGCCACGACGTTTCTCAGGCGTCGTAAAACTGAAATGACATTTGTCACCCGTAGACCTGCAGGTCCAACTGTAGCTAGCAGCAAGGTGTGGGGTGTCAAACCCAATATAGATCTATATACAACTATCACGTTCTCCCTCCAGGAGACTCTGATTATAACTAACAGGATTTTATATCCCGCACTCGGACGTACGGAAAGAGAATGTCTCACAATTTAGGTTAACAAGTTTACAAGTTGTATGCGGGAGTGTAAAATCCTTCTGTATGAATGTACCCTTTTCGTACGTGT